ACTCCTGGAGCTTTGCTGGCAAGGTAGGAAGATAAACTGCCTTCATGTCGCAAGCACAGACACCTGCAGGATATTTTTTCTTTAATAAAATATAAGTAGGAGCTTTCCTGGTAATTTCCCTCCGATGCTGGCTGCTCAGACATGTACGTGCCTTTACTCAGCTTCTCCTGTACAGGGAATGGATTGAACTAGCCACCTCTCAGCTTTAGAGAAAAACAAAGCCAGCGTGATTTTCATTCAACGGTGGCTACCTCCCAAGATCACAGGGAGGACAGAGAAAATCAGATCAATATCTAATTCAACGTCCTTTTAGAAGTGTTATAGACACTTGAGAAGCATGCAATATTTAATAACACGCAGAAGGAAGCCCCTGAACCCCTTTGAAGATTAGCTTTCCCTTCTTGATGCTGCATTTTGCTGGAAGGTTAGCCCTTGCAGGGCTTTATGGCTGGCACTCGTGACTGCCCCTTCTCTCCTCTAATCTTCCTCACCGACTGTCTTTCTCTGCCGTCCACGCCTCACCTTAGTCACAGTGCATTGTACTTTACAATGCTCCTGTTTTCTTACCTCACATGTTAAAAGTATAAAGACAAGGAACATGGAAATTTAATTGGTAATTTCCTACTTCCCTGATGAGGTCCATGTTTCCAAGGAGCAGAGCTCATCACAGTAAGGGCCTTCTGGGTTAACTAGTATCTGGAAATTACTAATGTTAACAATTAGTAGACATCAGCTAAGGTGAAAGAGTGCTGATGTAAGCATGCTGACATTTAGGCGCCTAACCCAGGTTAACGCTCACTGCAACCAAAATTTCTAAAAAATATGGATAATCAGAGATCTTAGTTCAAGAAACATCAACTATTAGTAGTGAAAGTGTGATGAGACTGAGTAGTCTCTTAAAAGTCTGCACACAACTGACCAAACCAGTCAGCTGGTAGGACAATGTGTGTGGCTGTGGCCTGGGGCCACAAAGCCTGTGAGCTAGTGATAGGAAGCTACTCCTAACACAAGGGTTAAGTGCTGATTTGCTCTTTTTGCTCCTTTTAGCTCCAGTATCTTTTCAATTTTCTATAAAAAAGACTGTATCCTGGTGGTGCTGTCCCTCTTAGGTTTTCCAGGGACACAGAGGATTATTCTAACCTCTCGTGGTGGCATAATCTGACCTTAGAATATCGGGTTCTCTCTTCTTTGCCTTGGTAGATACTTGCCTCAGCACTGTGCAAATTGATAAGCTGACACTTCTGCTCATTACTTCTGTGTAGTTTAAAGGGGTAGGGAATGCAGTACAGCCAATTTTTTCCACTGCCCAATCTCAGGCTGCTAAATGTGTCTTAATGTCTGTAACTTAACAAATAAGAATTTTAATCTTTGAATCACTGAGGCAGTAGGCTGCTTTTTAAGGGGCAACAAATAGTACTTTAAGTTGAATTATTGACTTAAATATAATTTATACACTTTCTGTATTACAGCATTATTTTTTAAAAAGGAATTTTATGGGGTTCTCAGCCAATATACTAGTATCTCCCTCAGGCCACTTTTGGCACATGGACTCTTGACTTTTAAATAAGTAATGAACATACATTTCTGTATTTTTCAAATTATACAGTACTCAGACTTGTGATGAAACTAATTACAACAGAAAAAATAATAAATTCTGGTATGTATGAGCAAATCAGAGTTGGTAATATGGAGGTAACACTTTAATGGCAGACATTTATACTAAATTAATAGTATACTAGAAATGCAATATAAACATTTCATATAAAATCTTAATTTCTGTATAATCAAGATAGTAATACATAAAGAAATTGTCCTTTTCAACTGTCTGCTTTTTTGTTGCTTCTTTTATGTTAGTGTCTGTTTTGTGTGAGGGCTCTCATCTAAATACAGAGGGAGTCTATATGAGTCTACTGTTCTGAATCATAACAGTGCTCAGGATCAATGCATTCTGTTGATAACAAACATCTAAAAATACAGATGCTGTGATTAAGGGAGTCTGTGTAACAGAAAAGGGCAGAGGCGAATAAACCTTTTTCAAGACAAGATCAATTAAATCTCAGCTCAGGGAAACATAAACACAAAACAGTATACAGAGTATACTAAACATGGTTTTCAGGTATTCTTAAAACAGATTTTAGTGGAGTGACTGGGTAACTCAGAATGATGCTGACAGACCACCTGGATTTTAATTATTATGTTGATTTCCTGGCAAGGAACTCAGTGTGTGGTCTAGAGCATAATTAAAACACAATCTTCTTGACTTACTCATATCAATATTGTGAAGCCAGAATTATTTTAGAGTTATTTTAGTGGCACTAACCAAACTTTAAATAAAAATATATGGTAAAAACTGAAATATGGCTATAACATAGACTGGAAGAAAAAAAAAAAGCCCATACCGTAGTTTAAAAGAAAATTAAAACTATTCCAGTGACTGAACCTAAAAAAAAAAAAAAGAACCCAGATGGAAAACAACTAAAAAATGTGCACTAAACAGCAGCTAATATGATAAAATTAGACTCAAGTCTATACTGATCTGAGTGTAAAATGTTTCAGAAACCAATGTGTTTATGTAAAATGGTATAAAGAACTTATTGCCTTTATTTTTTTCTTTTTTGGGAGATAAAAGAAAAATGACTAAATAAAACCTTTCACTAGAGACCTAGTGGCAGGATGGGCTGAAATAAAAGCCTCTGGATTTGAAAGTTAAAATAAAGTCTGTTAGTACTTTATTATTATTTTTTTTGGGTGAGAAAGAATACATTGGTTTTGGGAAAAACCTTAAATTGTATGGAACACAAAATTAATTTTAAGTTCAAATGTTGGTGATAAATGTTGATTTGACTCAAATATTTCCTTCCTTGAAAAATGAACTATTTAAATATTTTCCATCAAAGCTCCTTAATGACTCAAGATCAAAAATGCAGGTGACAGACTTTTTTGATAAGAAATTTAGGTAAATTCTTACTTCCCCCAACTTTGTTCATAAATTTAAGTTACGACAGGAAATGTACAGGAGAGCTTTTTCACATCTTGGAAAATTTGTCAACCTAAAAAATTTGTGACCTAGCATAATTACATTGAGACCAGTGGTACTTATGGCTTCAACTGATTTTTTACTAAATAAATCAAAGGATTTTGTGCATTTCTGAAGCCTTTTCCCCCTACATCAACTTGCAAATTCAGAACTGTATTCATATGTGTGCTTTTGGGTATGGATTAGCCTCCCAAAGTGCATAATTCCAATAATTATCAGTGACTGAGGGGATGAATAAATTATGCTTTAAGCACCACAAAATTAAAGTAAAAAAATGGTCTGCATAAGTTTTTCTTAATGTATGTGCCTATATTAAAGTTAATGTTCTATACAACTGATACGATCCTGCAAGACTCCCAAAGAGCTATTAATCCTGAATTGTAGCACTGCCTGCTTCGGACAAAGAATAAAATAGAATTTAAATGCTGTAGGTGTCATGATGTTTTGAAAAGTTTCTTCACATTAAGCACAGAATTCTGATGTGCATTCCAAATTTATGAGCCTGGATGAGTGAAATATCAATGCCATGTTCATTTTTTACATGACAATACAAAGATTAAGTTTCTGTTTTTTTCCCACAAAATTAAAGCCCAAGCCATCATTCTCCTTCCTTACTGTGAGGTTAGCATTAAGGCGACTAAGTGATAGAAGGCTGCTTTTTTTTTTTTAAACAAACACTATTACAGAGAAAAGACATTCACTTGGTAATGCTGACAAGGGGTGAATTTATCCTCCTTTGATTCTTCCTTTTGGAGACTGGCTAGCACCTGAAGACCATGACACTTAAAAGTAAGTCATGGGTCTGTGCTTTGATTTACCACAGTAAATAACATCAAAAGTAGTTTCTGAGCTCTCCCTGGTGGTGCAGTGTGTTAAAGTACAGCACTAAGAAGCTAAAGCCACTTCAGCATGAGTTCGATCCCCGCCCCAGAGGTGATCCACATGGTGTGGCAGACCTCTCCTGACCTGTCCGCTGCTTCCCTCAGCAGTAGTGTACTTCATCAGTCGGCCTGTCCTGCTCCCTACTCTGTCTCTGGTGAATCCTCTCAATGCCCCTGCACATCTGGCCTGTATTCTAGTTGTGTATGCATAAATAAATAAAATCTTAAAAAAAAAATGTAGGTTCCATTTATTTTTAACATTTGAAAGAAGGGAAAACCATATTGATTTCTAAAAGTTGCTTTGTATGTTGCAATATATTTTTGAGGGCAAATTTATAATTTTTAAATTTATTCTGGATGTAGTAATCATTAATTGTTTCTAAAAGTTTCAAGGAGATTAAAATGGCACACACACGCCATTTTCCACTTCATTGTTATCCTTTACCCTCTTAAAAGTATGGAGTGTGAATTCTGTGCAATGTTATTCATAGGTAGCAAACAATTGAAGAGGGCAGGGAAGAGGAATTTCTGTCCCATAAGCTCTTCCCATGAATGTAGACTAAATAATCACTAGGTTGCCATCTGGATATGGGCCTGAGCACTGATCAAAATTTGCTAGGCTATATTACCCCTGAGCGTGACCATCTCCTATGCACATATTTATCCTGAGAGGCAACTATATACAGAATATGGGCTAAGGTCCCTGGATATTGCTAAGATTTAGCTCAATGGAATCCTAGTGTTAACTTTGCTCACATAGTGTTCATATTAAATGTCCCCAGAAAAGTGCTCACCCACCTATCAGCTAATACCAATTTCTTCCAAGTAGTAGTGTAAGGGGAACTGAGGGGAGTAAATGGCAACAGGCGGATTGGCCCTGCCTATTTCTCCTCACTAATGTCCATCTGACTGTGCATCACTGGTGCTGTCCTACTTCACGGCAGCACGTGTCCATGTACACACACACAGGTGCGCAGACAGATATGTCTGTCAATGAGGATCATGAGATTCTAACAATTATGAAAGAGGTCTGGATGAGGGGAATTAGTTTCTGGGATGCCTCCTTTGAAGGGATGGGCCTTACCAAAAAGTACACTATTATTTCTGTGAACTTGTGCCTTACATTTTGTCTCAACTTTTTTTTTTGTAGCCATTATGAACTCTCTTACCCATGAACTTAAAACATTTTTGAGACCCTTTTATTTTCTGTGAATTCAGAGCAAAAGAGTGCGTTTTTAAAGGTCTATCTGTGTGTGTGTGTTATCTGGTGAGAAAGCACATTTTATATTTTCTTCCTCTCTGATCACTCCTTTATCTGATCTTCCCTAAATGACCCTGCACCCCAGCTCTTTCAAACTCATTTCTCACAATCACAGTGCTCTAAAAGTTGCTGCCTCAACTGTAACAGTGTGTTAGTCAAAACTTTACAAGTATCATTCTCTGATGGGACAGAAATGATAACCTTACTACAATACAAGAGCATGATGACTCTACATGGCAATTTGTTTGTTTGTTTGGCAATTAGAAAAAAAGAACTCTAGGAGGTCCAAATAATTCTCCACATAAAATGACATTTACAAATATAATCTTGCCTTTCTTGGCAGAGCAGGAAGACAAGATTGGCTGGAATGTGTCCTGCAAACATGGCATTACCAGTACAGCTTACAGCACCAACTGAGGAGAGGCTGTAGCACAGGAGAGTAGCCCAAGAACTGTGCTGAAGTATAAAACTTTGAGCAATGTCAATGGTCCTGGGGTGAAAATGATCTGTAAACCTCATGGTTACTGCCTGTGCTTTTTTTATTTATAATGGCCTGAAATGGCAGGATTGCTGTGGTGAGCTCATAAAGCCCCTGGTAGGGCTGTCTATTTCTTCAATGCTTTTTTCTTTTTTTTAAAAGTGGCACATATTTTTAAAAAGTTAATAAAAAAATAACCTTAGAAGATTGTTGCAGGTAATGTGGTATAAACTCATTGTTAATGAGAACAATGTCACTCTGCTGGAGGACAGAATTGAGGCTGAGGGGGTGCTTCTCCGTCACTGTGTGATTTTCTTCTTGATGGCTGCCAGCTCTTTCTGAAGCTCAGCGAACTTGGGGCGGTGTTCAGGTTTATAATCCCAACACCTCATCATGATTTTAAAGATATCTTCCGGACAGTTCTGAGGGGCTGACATTCGGTATCCTGAAGAACAACAAAGAGTTTAGAATGGAGCTAATAATACAAGTTCACGCAGGGCATTATGCAATGTGCAAAGTTTAGTTGCATTATGTTATGGATATAATAGAAAAAAAAAATCATTTCAGGACAAACTGAATGTTTTCTACAAGAGATGCAGAATTCATTATCACAGCACCAAAGAATTGCCTTCTATTTCAAAGACATTCTTTGTTCATTTGCCCAAAGTCTGATGGAAGATGCAGCACATACAAATGCATATTTTAGTTGCTTTAAGTATTTGCTATTAGAGTTTACTTTTAGTACTCTGAGCAGAGTTTTAAAAAAGTCATTCCTACATTTTAGGTTTTTGAAGATAAAAGAGGGATAAGGATTTTATCGATAGTCAAATAAAAATCATGTAAATTTTGCTTCCTTACAATCCATGAAGATCTGAAGCCAAAGTTGTCTGGTGGTGCACAAGGTTTGCACTGGGCAGTCTATGTGCCTATGTGTTTGCCTTAGGAATGAAGATAGATGTCTGTGAAGCGGGGAGGAGGAGAGGGACAACAGAAGCTATAAAATCAACCTCCTACACCCAACTGTACAAACACACCACTTTAGGTGGGTCAAAGGCTTGGGCATCGAACGTGGTCAAACATTGTTTCTGTTGAAAGCTGTGGAGTAGTCCAGTGCATGCCAATATGTCACAATCCCCTATTTATCCCACCCCTGATCTGGGAACACCAAAGGATTTCTTCGCAAGTGTTATAAAACTCAAGAACTTCCTCCTGAAGACTATTAGCAATAATATTAATGGTGCTTCCTTGGTGTAAAATAAAAAAAATAGGGCAGTGTTCCTCAACCTCCTATGTCCCTTGAAGACAGTAATCAGCACAACCTGGCAGATGTGATGCCAGGCAGGGGAGTGGAAGAAAAGTCTATAGGACTCCATTTTTCAAATGCTGAGATCTTTTAAAATTTATGTTGCATAAATATCTTCCCACCCACGGGGTTCAACAGAAGATTTATCAACATTTATCTGCTCTCTATTTAGATTCTCAAACAGTATGTGCCTTCTCCTTTTCCCCCAGGAAACCAATGCCACAGCCTTGTAGACACCATTACCCACACCTTTGGCTCACCTCTTTCTACTTGCTCCCGTGCTTGCTGATTTGTCATCCCAGGGTATGGGCAGACCCCTAAGCTGAAGGTTTCCCAGAGGAGAATGCCAAAGCTCCACACGTCACTCTCAGAACTGTATCTCCCTGGAGGCAAACAAAACCATAACCCTGTCAGTGGAGAAGCAGCAGCCATTTCTGGATATGCTAAGTCCATGCCAGTCACATGTTAACATATTTAAACTCATGAAGGTGCTCTAATATATATCTTATTCTCTTTGGTAGTTTTACTTTCTAGCACTAGGAATAACACTGATTAAACCAGTTCTCAGGCAGCTAGATTAACCAAACTAACTTCCAAATCATTCCTCCCTGCAAAGAGTAAACATTCAGTCAGCACGCAAGATTACTCTCTCTGTGGTATTGCAGTGAGATGTATGGTTTACATTAAAGTAAAAAAAGATATGAATTTGTACACATAAATGTCTAGAGAGTACACAAGTTAGATTTCTGAAATGTTGTCTTCTGCCTGCATTATTTTATAACCAGTAAAATTACAAACAAATATAAAGCAATAAAAAAAGTTTCTTCAATTTATTTTACCATCCTTTTAAACAGGTATTACATGCTTAAAAGTCTCTTTTTCTCCACTGTTAGTTTCATTTGTGGACAAAAATTCTCCTGTGTGTTTAGAATAAAGTTGAGATTAATAAAACCAGCTGATAAAACAAGTTCTTCTTGTTGGTGCCCTGTTTTGTCAAAATACCTTGATGTACTTGTTTTATTGAGCTATATGACCTAAGCTCTTATGATTTTTTTTTTTGGTAGTCATCTAGATAGGTAAAAAAGATTAAAACCAACAAGTTTCTCCTGGATATCATGTAGAAATGGATGTGAAGCTAGAGACAGAAAGCAGAAAATTCCCTTTCAATCTCTAAGAGGTTAAGAATTTCCAAGATTTTCCCAACATAGTTGGTTTTATTTTATTGTATATACTTATGTATGTATGTATGTATGTATGTATGTATGTATGTATGTATGCATGCATGTATGTATGTATATATATTGCATATCATAATTAGACTCTATTTGTAGTGGTATTAAAGTTTCAAAAATAATTTCATATTCTCTCCTCCTATAGCTTTCTGGCTTAATTCTCCACTCCAGAATTTATAAACACCCCTCATCTAAATATGTCTTGTTACTTTAAGGAGGATGGCCCTTTCTAGATCAAAAAAAAAAAAATAACAAGAGTGTGCTTGCACTATGATAACTGCTTGATGTCAGAGTTTGAAATGTATTTACTTTTCACTTACTCCAGATGTGGGATAAGTTTCCTTTTTTGTAGATAGTACTTATGGACATTCACTATGCTGTTTTGAGGGGGATTAGTTTTCTTGTCTGCAATCTACATGTCAATTTTTTCATGTTTTATATATAATGACTTAGTACTTTTCATGAAAATAATTCAATAGCTATAAGTTAAGACTAATTGTTTAATAAAGTAAAAGGTATGTAGTATTAAGTTTCTTTTATGTGTAAGAAGATGCTAGGATTCTATATTAAGCCAAAATCACATTCCAGTAGTGGAAATTTATGCCCTAACTCTTTATTTTTGACCTCTGAACCTGGTTTTGCAGGATAATTTTAATGAACAAAGAGTAAGTTACAATTTTATAGCATTTTGTTACTTTTCCATCCCTTATTTGATCTTAAGATATCCCTTAAAGGAAAACATACTGTCATTCTCATTTTGCAAACAAGTTAACATAGATGTAGAGAGATATGGCTTATCAAGGTCATGTAACTAATGAAATAATTGGAAAGGAAAATTGGTCCTTATGGACAATCTCTTCACTGTAAATCCTGCCTCCCTTGCATTTAAGAGGACTTAGTTAGACCCATTAATTAAATACATCAGCTCCAAATTTTCAAGTGGGAGAAGTAAATCCTCATATAGCAATTATCATCCTAAATGTAAATGAATTGAACTCATGAATCAAAAAAAAAAAAAAAAAAAAGAACAGAATTTCTGGGTGCATCAGAAAATAAAATCAACATTCTACTCTTTCTAAGAGAGCCACTGGAGCTATACAGATAAACATAAGTTCAATGAAAATTATTGGAAACTGATCCTACAAATAAACGGGACCATGAAAAGACGGGGAGAACCATATTTGTATTAGTTAAAATATACATACAGTTAAAAGAGTTAGATATAACATTATGATAAGAGGATCATAACACACATATATTTATAAATACATATATATATACATATGCATAAACACACATATATTTCCATGTATACAGCAAAGGAAGGAACAACAACAAAATAATCAAGACAACTAGTAATAAACCTAAAAACAGATGTTGGCTATAATACAGTAGTGCTGTCAGACTTCAAAAACCCACTCTCTTCAACAGACAGAAATCAGAAAATTTCTGATCTTCAGACAGAAGATCAACAAAGGAACAATCCTCTTAAAAGAAGAATTAGACCACTTGGGCTTAATAGACATACATAAGGCACAGCACACTCCAAAATCCAAGTACACACTTTTCTCCAATGCGCATGGAATATTCTCAGTTGTGACCCACATGTTGGGACACAAAAACAAGTGTCAATGTATCATGAATACTGATACCACACTAAATGTATTCTATTGTTACAATGGTGTAAAACTAGGAATCAAACACAGAAAGAAAGCAGGAAAAACCTCTGATATGTAGAGAGTGAACAATACACTATTGAATGTCTATAGTGTTGACAAGCAAATTAATAGAGAAGTGAATGAAACTTGGAGGTAAATGTAAATGAAGACACAAGCTATCAGAATCTATGATATACATCAAAAGCAATATTAAAAGTCAAGCATATAGCAACAAGGCACAAGAAAACTCTCAAGTAAATGATGAAACACTTCATTTTAAGTAGGAAAAAACAAGCAAATACTAGCAGAAGGAAGTACATAAAAAGCAGAGAAGACATAACAATATAGAAATAAAAAAAAAATCTAAAAGATCAATACAACCAAAAACTACTTCTTTGAAAAAATATAAACATATATCTAGGTTCACAAAGGAAAAGGATGAGGAAATGATAATACTTAGAAATCAGAAACAAAGGAGAAGTTACAACAGAAAATTCATAAATTCAGAAAATCATGACAGACAACTATGAATATCTTTATGCCAATACACTGGATAACCTAAAAGAAAAAATAATTCTGAGAGGCATACAACCTTCTGAGACTGAACTTCAGTCTCAGAATGAATAGAAAATCTGTTCATTACAAGCAAGGTAGTCAAAAGTCTCCCCCCAAAACAAAAGTTTCACTGGTGAATTCTACTGACTTTCAAAGATGGACTAATAACCTATGCCTCTTGAACTGTTCCAAAAATTTAGAAAGAGGAAATGCTTTCAAACACAAAATTTGAGGCTAACATTACTCTGACACCAAAACCACACACTAACATCACAAAAAAGAGAGTATTACAGAGCATTATTCTGATGTACACAGATATAAAAATCCTCAACAAGATCGTAGCAAACTGAATTCAGCAATATATTATAAGGTTCATACATATAACCAAGTGATATTTATTCCTCAGATGTGTGAATGGCTCAACATCCACAAATTGATCAGTGCAATTCACCACATCAACAAAAGGAAAGACAAAACTCATATGATCATATCAATAGATGCAGAGAAAGTATTTGATAAGATTCAAAATCCATTTATGTATCATATGGTTTCACTTATTGGGAAACCATACAAGACATCAGGAATAAAAAGACAAAATTAACAGGCAATCTATAAGTCAGAGACATTCACCAGAGGAGGGAGAGGGAGAGCCATCAAAATGGAAGGGAAAAGCATAAAGTCTTTGGGGATGATTCACAGGTGTCTTGATGGTACAACACCTTTTAGGTTTTGTACAATAAGATACTGTACAAAAATGAACAACATTAAAATATGCAAGTAAAAATGAGAAAAAACAAAATATATATTTATGATTAAAAAAATTAGAATAATTGGGCATAGAATAAGTACACCATAAATGATAAAGGCCACATATGACAAACCACAGCTAGTGTCACATGCAACAGTGAGAACCTGAAAGCATATAGTTAAGAACAGGTACTAGACAATACTGTCTACTTTCACAACTCTTATTCAAGGTAATATTGAAAGCCCAAGGTCAAACAGTAAACTAATGGAAATATAAAAAGAAACCAAATTGGGAAAGAAGAAATAAAACTATCACTATTTGCATATTGCATTATAATGTGCTCAAAAGCTTGTGTATAAGACCTGAAACGATAAAATATATAAGAAAAAACTGTCAAATGTTCCACAACATTGTTTTCAGAGCTGTCTTGGGGCTTAACAACAGCAATAACCAGGAAAGGAAGAGCAAAAATAAACAAAGGGCACCACATTAAACTTACAAGCTTCTGTACAGCAAAAGAAACTATCGTTAAAATTAAAAGATACACTACTGAATGGGAGAAATAAAAATCACAACATATATCCAACAAGGTGCTAATATTCAGATTCCCCAAAACCTCATATAAACCAATAAAATGAAAATAAATAATTCAATAAAAAGACATAAAGAGCAGAAACAACATTGAGGACTCATCTCTAGAAGCAAGGGACATGAAAGAGAAGACTACATCAAACTAAAAAGCTTCTATACAGCAAAAGAAACTTACTAAAATGAGGAGAGATCTTACTGAATGGGAGAAAATATTTGTATACCATCCAAACGATAAGGGACTGATATCAGAGATCTAAATAGGGCTCATACAATGCCAACCCGATCAAAAAATGGGCATAAGAACTAAAAAGACACTTCTCCAAAGAAGACATACAGATTGCCAAAACACACATGAAAAAAATATTCATTATTTCTATCATCAGGGAAGTCCAAATCAAAACCACAATGATATCATCTCTGTATTATGTTTGGGTTAGCACTTCTTAGAATTTACTGTCCTTATCTTGGAAGCCTCTTTAAGTCTCCCAAAGTCCCAGCCCACCCTGCCTCTGAAACTGTGAAAATGGCCCATATCAAACTGAGAAGAAGCAACAGGAACCCTCATATACTGTTTTGTATGAATTTAGACTGGTCCAAGCCCTATTGAAAACAGTATGGAGATTTCTCAAAATATTAAGAATAGATTTTACCATCTGATCTATTAATACCACTCTTACATGTATCTACTCAAAGAATGCAAAACTATTAAATTAAGTGTCATGTGAGTCCCAGAGCATGTTAGTTAATTAGGTAGTTTGAGAGACAGGGCAGCAGAGACTTCAGGAGATTTAAAGAGGCTTTTGAGGGCCCTCCTTAGTGGCAAAATGGGTTAAAGCACTGAACTGTGATGCTAGTTACAGCTACTTCCCAGGCCAGGCTGGTGACCCACATGGCACAGCAGACCTCTCCTGTCTTGCCTGCTGCTCCCCTTAGCAGTGTACTTAGTCAATCTGCCGGTTCTGTTTCCCACTCTGTCTCTGGTGAATCCTCTCATTGCACCCCAGTTCTGATTGCATAAATAAATAAATCTTAAAAAAATTAAAAGATAAAGAGGCTTCTAAGATAAGGACAGTGAATTCTAAGCACTGTTAGCCAAAACATACTACAGAGATGAGGTCAAAAAGTCCAGGAGGACTAAACAAAGACAGTTAAACTTGGACAGGGAAGGTAAACTAGATAGGAGCTGGGAAGGTGGGTTCATGTGCCCAGGGGGAGTACAGACACTAGGAGGAAGAGCCAATCACAAATGAGATTTTAGAATTGGGGGGAAAAGGTCTAAATATCCCGAAACACCAGCTTGCAATCACTTTCTTGCCCCTCCCAAATATAGTGTTCCTGGGAGTCTTTTCTTTCTTTAAATAAACTTTACTTTCTTAAACAAAGTTTATTTTCCTCTGCTTACTTATCTAAAATGTCTGTGAATTCCTTTTTTCAACTTTGTGGGACAAGAACCTGTGGTGGTTCAAGGGCTAAATTAATAGCATACACCGGTGTCATATGTACTCATATGTCATTGCAGCACTATTAGGCAAGATAAGCAAACAACCTAGCTTCACATGGAAAGATGTGTGGATTAAGATGTGGTACATATATACAAAGTAAAACCACTCAGCTATAAAAAAATAAAATCTTGTCATTTGGGACAACATGGATTAGATGTGGAGATTGAAGGTGATTATGTTAAGTGAAATAAGTCAGAGGTAGGAAAACAAATACTTGATGAGTTAACTCATAATTGTCATATAGAGAAAGAAAACAAATGAACAGATAAGAACAAATCACAACAATGCTAGAAATATGACTGTAGATTTCAGGCTAACAGAAATGGCATGCAGGTGATTGGAAAGCAGAATATGGAGAAGGATTATGGGTACATTGGTGATGGGAGTGGTGTGCTGACATATTTCTGAAGATGTGTGAACTTCCATATGTAATCTTATATATCAATGTTATCCCAATATAGTACAATTATGAGCTTAAAATAGTTTATTTTAATAATGTCTTCTGAATTTACCTTAAAGAAAGGTTTGTATTTAATTTAGGCATTAAATTACAGCCATTATAAAAGTCTTATTTTTCTTGAGGAGATAATGTTTCATTTTAAATCAATAATCATTTCATGATTCATTTTTATTCACCACATACTATACCAATTCACCAATCCATAGCTTACATGCTGCTTTCCTTTATGAAAATGTGATTTCTAATTTTACTTAGAGCACATCTGTTTTTTTTTTTTCTTTCGTTCAAACTATTGAGCTGTTACCCATCTTGTTATGGCCCATTTCCTTCCAAACAGATTATGCAAGCTGTATTTATTTCCAATTACAGTGACACATGAAAATTCAAGTAGAAAAAAAATCCCTGCAATTTTCAAATGCAAGTTCCATCTTTCTTTTCCTACAAGATTTATACAAGTTCCAGAGATGGAGGTGTTAGAAAACCATGTTGACTTTTGGAATGAGTGACAGCAAATTGACTGATTTAATATTTTATGAAACTAATATTAGTTGAATGTTACTGGACCCATTATAAGACATTCAAAGAAATAGTTCTGAGTCATAGCATCATTTTTTTTCTCTGTATGTGATTTGACTATTAAAACATTTATTGTGATCAGAAAGGAAAACTTTCAGATTCATAGTCATATTTGAAAGTGTTCATACATCCATTGTTTAATCTAGCAACTAGATATGTAGGCATCTGACCATAAGCTTAATGAATTAAGTCTGTGCTCATGTTTATTGCCAAGTATGAACCTTTATACAACATTTATGTTGCTCCTCAAATCCTTCTAACTTTGGCCCTGCTCTACCTTTGTAACTTTGATTGTGATTATTTTGTGCTGATAGAGCCCATTTTTACCACCAAAAAGAAAAAATGTGTATTCTTACCATAATTAAGAGCTTCTGGTGCTGTCCATTTAATGGGAATCTGCTTTAAGCCAGAGGATGAATATACTCCACCATCTTCTTGACGAGACATTCCAAAATCACTGATTTTCAGAACATTATTTTCACCTACCAGGCAGTTTCTTGCAGCCAGATCCCTAGGTAATAATAAGACAGAGAAAACACCTATTAAAACAAACTGTAAGCCTCATTCACATTTATCACTCCCACACTTCTCAGTTTTACATTTGCAAAGTATTTATAATGAGGTTACGAATGCCTGGGATTCACCAGTTCATACTGCCTTTTCTGTCACTGGTAAAATTCTTACATGAGAACATTTGCATGTGGAACAGGCCACATTCTAATTTTCTTGGTGCCACATATATTTCCGTTTAAATAGAAAAACACTGATTCTAGGTTTAAAAGAGAAAATCACAGGAGAGGCTAAGCAAGCTTGGCATGACATGTCTGTGATCAGGTTTCCTAGCACAGTAGTGTACCACAGAGCCTTCTGTGATCACAGGTCTCGCTGTCTATGCTGCACTGTCCACAGGCGGTCCTCTGCAGTGGGGAGCAGCGGGTGAGACAGGAGAGGACTGCTGTGCCATGTGGGTCACCTCTCTGGCCAGGGAGTGAACTTGAGCTGCACTTTAACCCACTGTGCCACCAGGAAAGGCCCTTCATTCATTACTTTCAAATCATGGTATGTGGCTAGTAGCTACTGAGTAGCCTTTGGCCACATAGCCCTAGGGGTTCCCAAAGGCTGAGCAGGGAGGCTAGTGATTCTATACATGCTGACCTCGCCCTGCCTCCTCTGCCATCCTGTTCTACTCTCTCCACAGCTTATTCTATTGTAGCTCTACTGGAGTTCTTTCTGTCTCCAAGTACAGGAAATGTCCTTCAATACAGCAAGCTAACTTCTACTGTAAGGTCTCTGCACTTAGTTGTTCCCTTTGTCCATTTCCTCTTGCTCTCATATTTTTCAAGTTAAAAGATAAACTTGATTTAGTGGACTATTGTCATTCAGCTAAAAATTGCCTCACTCTTGTAGCTAGGAGAGGCTATAAACTATGTGCCCAATGAGAGGTTTGTCTAAAATTTCTAGGAAGTATCTTTAAAATAAAGAAGAGTGCCATTGCACTTCTCCCCACTCTCCCACTAACCCAAGAGGAAGAACACTACATCAGAAGAGCAGTAAGAAGTAAGGGGCCTGGAATGCTGAGGCATAGGGATGCCATACATATTTTGGACTACTTTTTGTCTCTCTCTCTGTTTTTTTTAAAGATTTATATATTTATGCATACAGAACTAGGGTACAGGCCATAGATGTAGGGGCGGTGAGAAGACTCACCAGAAACAGTGGGGAGCAGAACGGGCAGATCGACAAAGTACACTGCTGAGGGGAGCAGCAGGAGGGTCAGGAGAGGTCTGCCATACCATGTGGTCACCTCCAGGGCAGGCGGGGATCAAACTCTTGCTGAAGTGGCTTTAGTTTCTTAGTGCTGTACTTTAACCCGCTGCGCCATCAGGGAGGGCCCCATCTCTCTCTTTTTTTAAAGACATGCTAAATTTGAGATGTCTATTAAACATGAAGTGGAGATACTACCTACACAGGTGTGCATATTAGTGTGGAGGTCAGAAGACAGGTCTAAGAGTTGTCAGTTTTCAGATGGTATTTGAAGTTATAGGTTGCAGAATGTTTTCATCTAGAAGGTTATGTAGAGAGAAAAAAGTTGTTTGAAGATTAGCTTAGCACATTATCATTTAGAGAGTGATGCAAGGCAGGAGACTGAGAAGGAGCATCTGTGAGGCCAGAGGGAAAAATAAAAAAGAGGTCGGTGTCCTGGAAGTGAAGTGAGGAAAGTTTTTCAAGGAGGAATACAATCAAATCTGTCAATTTCCACTGAGAAGACAAGAAAGGTGAGACTACTAAATGGTCATTGGAATTTAGCACCATAGAGTTTAATGAGACACTGATAACAGCAATTTCAGTGAAGTGGTGAATACAAAAATATAATTGGAGTATGTTCCAAAAAAGAGAGAGAGAGAGAGAGAGAAAGTGGGAATAGTGCATTTTTTTATATTCTTTTGAGTAAATCTGCTATAAAACAGAAATAGAGAGATAAGGAGAGTATGTTTCAGGTCAACGGATTTTTTTTTTTGTCCCTAATATGGGGGGTTATTACATACATATTAGTACCCACACAAAAATAGGGCATAAATATGTATATATGTATATGTGTGTGTATATACCTATGCATATGGTAATAATATTATACAAAGGGCTAAAAAAGCAGAGAATGGTGACTACTGCAGGTGTGAAATCTTTATGAAAGCAGAGAGGTTGCAATCCATGTGTGCTTTCCAGAGCTGTATTCCTGATTCCCAGAAAGGTACTTGCACATACTAGGTGATCAATAAACACTTGCTGAAAAAAATATACTCATACAAGCACATACACCTACCTATCTACCTACCTACCTACATACTACCTTATAGTAGGAGTGATACTTGTGAAGATTGTTAATTTCTTGCTTTTATCTTCTTAAAACTTTTTACTGGAGAATAACCAATAACTAGCTTCACTTTCAACTGAGATGATTTAATAAACTAATCTTTGGAATGGATTTCTAAACATCAAAGATGACTCAGAACTTACAAAAATTACAGCCTAATTTCTATGAAGATCTTACAACACAGAAAGTATCTTCAACAACTCATTCATAACAAGTTGACTGATGATAATGCTATTTCCTAAGGGTGTTAAAATAACCTTAAAATTGCTGAGCAAAATTGATATCAGAGAAATAATATTTTTATATTCCAGGAGGGAATTTGGATAGTATTGGATAAAGGCATTATGAGGAATGTGAATTTTTTACTTCATTAATTTGCAAAGATTCACTTTATTCATTTAGATAAAATTTACAGCAGAGAAACTTAGAAAAAGCCCAAGGTTAGAATTCAATCCGCCTCATTTCCCAGTCTTTACATGCAGTGTGGATATCTACTGGAAGAGTCAGAGAACCTGGTCTACTGCTAGACAAAATGAGTGATCATGACATACTGGTTAATTTGCTTACTTATCTTAATCTGTAAAATGTATCCTGTTGACCCAGAATCTCTAAATTCTAAGGAATATCTAGTCACATACTACCTTATACTAGGAGTGATTCCGGCCCTATATGTATTTTTTGTATGAGCTCCACTTAACTCATCTAAATATACAAATAAGCAGGGTTAAATGAACTAATGATAATAAAGTGGTAGCATATAATATATGGCTCAAAATAAGTTACTAAGTAAACCAATATCATTATCATCAGTTTTGTTATTTCTACTGTTTATGTAGTACTAGCACTATTACTACAAGAGGTTCTAGAACAGCATGCATGAATCATTCTTCAAAACAGTTTCTAACAGTATGTCATGATTGCAAACAAAAAGCAGGTGACACCTGGAAACTCAGGACTGCATAGTAAGGCTTGTGAATTTTTGACTAGTTTATATCCTTTCTATAACTTATATTTCATCATTATGCCAGTGTAAGATCCAGGTGGGCACTGGTCCTTGTTCACTGTTTGACAAGTAACTAGACTGTATGCCATTTTTTTCTTCTTAGTTAGATCTAGGGACATGTCTTTTTATGTCCTATGCTCCTCTATTAGGATGGGAGATAAAAACACTTCTTAATATCTTCCTAAAAGTTATTAAACATTAAAGCTTTTTAATAAGCAAAATTATCTGTTTTTAGTGGTTCTAGGTATCTCTATCTCAGATATGGTATCTATTTCAATTTAATTATATTTCATATACTTGAAAGAACTTTTTAAAGAGAACAAGCCGTATACCATATTGGTTAAGTTCTGGATTCAGATAATTTGTCTTCAAACTCTACCTTCTGAATTTCTTTTCTGGAATGATCATAAAAACCACAATCCATGTTTTCTAATGAATTATAACTAAAATCTCTAGATAAAATAATTCCTTGAAGATTCTTCTAAGAAACACATATGGATTCTGGAGGACAGTAGTAATTTGCAAGCGCAATGGCATGAGAATGAGTTCCTTGTTTTACAGTCTTCTCTCTTGCAGCTTTTCTCTGAATATGGGCTCCACTTATAGAGAATATAAAGGAGGCAGAATTAATCTCTGCAATGCCAATAAAAATCACATCTTTCTGCCCAGAAAAAAAAAAAACAAAAAAAACAAAAGACAAGAAAAGAGGTCCGTCTGAGCAAATGATTGCAGGAAAATCCAAGTAGGAAATGAGCCAGAAAGGAGGATCATCTGGTGCTGTGAGTGAAACCTCACAAGTCTCAGCCTGAGCACTGAGCCATCCAAACTTAATTTGAGAACTGAAACCAGCCATAAGCCACTCACTAAACCTCACAGTTATCCCTGACACAGACAGACACAAACACAGATTTTGGGAAGTCAACTGTGAATTGATTTACTGTCCACAAAGGTGGGACTGAAATTTATGTTCCAAACCAGCCTGAGTTGATTGCCTGCTAAAAAAACCCATAATCTTCAGAAGATTATAACAGGAATTTGGTGTCTACACAATATAATATCTTCACAATATTAAAAGCACAACTTAAAGCTGTTAGATATAAGACAACTGTGATAAAATCCGAAGGGAAAAACAATCAAAAATGTCAATATCATATAATCAGATATAAAACAACTATTTTATCTGTAATCCACAAAGGAAAACATATTTGAAATGACCAAAAAACAGATTACCTCAGTAAAAACAAAAGTATAAAAAGTTAAAGAATCTCCAATAAAAAATAATTATTGGTTAGGACAATAAAAGATTGATATAACAGATAACAAAAGAGGCATCAAGCAAAGATAAACCAATATAAAGACATATAGCATTCCGTTTGTAAAACACAAACGAAAAGACAGAAATGAAAATATATTTTCAGGATCCTTTAGAATAATATCACAATATCAAAAATACGTTTTACTGGTGTTTCAGAAGTAGAACAATATGAGACTGTGCAGAAAATCTGTTTGAAGAAATAATGATTGCAAAATTTCCAAATGTAGATGCAAAAAGTAAGTTCACAGATTGAAGAATCTTTGTGAACATCAGTGAGGATAAAAATTAAAGGAAAAACCACCTATACAAATCATAATCAGC